ATATTGAATATATAGGGACCCTACATTTTTGTAGGTTTTGGGAGGGCCTTGCAGGCCTGAGCCCCACAGAATGAGTCAGATTCTCACCCGTAGCTCAACCATGAATTACCCCGAACGCTATTGAATCTCATCTTTCGTGCCCCTTTTATTGGGCCACCCATCGTCTGCTGCGCTGTCTTTCGCGTGGCACAGCTGTCCGCGAGGATGTTGTAAGTCAGTCTGGGCGCAGGGCTTCATTGGTCGCTGTTAGTTTGTAGAAGTGTGTTACGACGACTTCACGGGGGTCGCACAGGCCTCCATCTTAGGGTTCGATACGGGTTTCTGCCACACCTCCCGTTCGGGCTTGTGATTATTGTAGGTTTGAGGCTGTAGGGTTGGGCGGTGCGCTTATGTCTTTAGCCATGACGGGCCTCCTACGTCCGCCATTCAACTCTGCTAGGGAAACGCCAGAATGCAACATTTAAGTATGTAGAGTTGCGTTTTGGGGTATATCTGGGTGCTTTCATGTAAGCATTGAGTTGGAAGGCCGGCGAAAAAGTTCAATGGAGATTCCTGCTGATAGTCAGCAACACAAAAAAGGGAACACACTTTAAGAACAACTTATCCAAGAGCCCGGAAGTTCAGACCTCAATAACTACTCAGGGACCTAGGCGAGAAATCGCGCTTGCATCTTGAAAGTCCTGCCTTCAGGCAGTCCAATACCCAGACCCCCGGGAGGAAAGTAGATCCCCTAATTTGGGGCCCTATACTACGAAGGGTACTTTAAAGGAACCCGTATTAAGGGATCTACTTTTTGGATCCCCCCGCGGGACTGGGTATGGAGTTCCCGGGTGCGTAAAGTTTAGTTACTACTTGGATCATCAAGCGGTGCTTGGAGGTATCAACAATGTACCTGCAATTACTTGGCTATCTCCTCTAAACTAGCAAAAGCCAACAGCCAATGGTGGAAGCCTTGCCCAAAATCTTGTGGAGCTGTATAGAAGCCCTGAACCTGAACGTACTGCAGGGGGATCCGGCCTAAACCCTAAACCCGAAATGTTGGCCAAGCCATGTGGCACGCGCATTCCCAGCTTCGCACACGGTTCAGCCAGGCACTCCTTGCTTGAACAGGGCCGGGTTGTCCTTTAAAGGAAAAAGGGGGGGTTTAGAGTTCAGGGCTCAGGGCTTTGCCGTTAGGGCTTATGTTTCTGTTTAGGGTTGAGGACTTAAGCTGGGGGGGTGGGGGGTGTATGGCTCAGGGTTTAGGGTTTAAAGTTGAGGGTGTGGTTATTGGAACAGCTTGGAACCTTCGCAGCAACCCGTAACAGTACCCTTCTACAGAACCCTGATGCAGTCCCAGCGGAAGGCGTCGATGGGTGCTGCCGACACGGGCTGCTTGCCTGAGCTTTTGGGGTCCGTGCTTACTTTGAGTTTCAGGACTTACATATTGTGTGGCTTTTTAGACTTTATACGGTTTAAATACGAAGTCCATAAAGGGGGGACTTGATTCATCTTCTTCCTCAACCTCGGAATTATTCTACTGTTGTTCTGCTCAGGTTTTCAATATTTGGGTCGATCATGTTTAACCCATCATCGACATTACTAGCGTAATTCCGCGCAACCTTTAAAACTTGATCTTTGCATTATGTCACTGGGTTTTTTACACAAAAAATTGGTTAACGACAGATAAACTGTTAAAGGGCATTCTCTTTCGAATATGGATCTTAAAATATTTACGGATCTCGAAAGTAGAGTTGAATTAGGGGCTTGTACCATTAGAGATTAGAGTAATGCAACTGATCCAACACACATTCGGATGTCGTAGCATTTTCGCGACAGGCCCTACCCAAACCCTACATCAACCCTAGACGCTAAAGCCCTTGACCCTAAACCCCTAAACCCTGAACACTCAGAGCAGGGGTTCAAGTCATAACATACGGGCTCTAAAAGGAATCTAAACCTTTGGAACTGATGCCTGTAGCCGAAACTCTAACCCAAGGATCAAGGACTTAAATAACCATTAGGCGTAGAAGTAAGAAGGTAGCTATACGTCGAAGTACTTATAGCCCCAATTAGGGTTCCTTCTCGTATAACCTGAAGCCCCAAACTCTTGAGACCCCAAATTCCACCTTGCAAGTTAAGAAGTAAAACACGCCCGTGAAGTCTTCAATCGTGGGATCAATCTTTACTTTTTAAGGGAGGGGTGTTGTTTTGATCAAGGGGTCTACCTAAAAGAAACACATCGTCAGACCCGGAGCGTCGATGCCCACCCAACTTCAATAGGGCTTTTGAGGTATATAATATTTCCAATACGTCCACTATTGGACTATAACGGAAAAGGCCTCACCAGCAAACATGAGGAACAGCACGTAAGTCACAGCCTGCAGTGTTCAGAAATGACGCCTTTCTGCTCTCCCAGTGCAGCTTGTTAGGACCAGGCCTGCTGAGCAAAATGCCCGTGCAGGAACTGTCCCAGCAGCTGCATCAATGAAGGCACTTTTGCCTTCGTGGAACAGCCGACAGCCGCGCAGTCTGCGGGGCCTTGCCTTCACGGTCCAAAAGCTGCCTCGCTTGCACTGGAAAGGTCGCTTTGACTGGAGAGCAGACCTCTTCTGTGACCAAGAGGCAAGGCAGCTTGTGTGTCTTCGTTGTCCGACAGTTCAACCACTTCATCCCCTTTGTCTGCAGGAAGCAGCCGCACTCCCACAATGGAGCTATGATCCTCTGTCCATGTCAACACAGCTGCAGGAAGACTGGTCCACACTTTTGCTGCTTCCTAACAATCTGTTTTCGTCCAGCCACATCTGGCTGCGAGGTGACAACCTTAGATCAGGGAAACCTGGCACCCAGTGGGGCCATGCTGTGGACTCCTTCCTGCCCTTCATCAGAGCACGTCTATCCTTTGCGGCAACGATGCAAGTGTAGCATAAAGGCTCGCTGACCAAACATGCGAACATGAGAATAACCGCGAAGAAGCCCTCTTGTTTCCGTGCTATGTATTGTGAAGAAACGTGCTCCTTAGACCGGACTTAGACCCGGGGCTGGGCAGAAGCGGTTGCAAGCAGAGAGGGCCTTAGTTTCGCGCCCGACGAAAGTGAAGAAGCATCGCAGAAAACAACACAAATGCCACTGTACTTTGCGAATGCCTTAAAGGAATACAGAGGGTTTCAACAATAAACGGCGGGGATAAGGTAATAGTCGGTAGCCAGGAAGTGCTGGTATTTGCACGGCATTCTAAACCAAGCAAAGCAAAACTGCGCAAAAACATGGGTCCTTACGGCACCGCCTAGCCATAAAACCCTCAGGCACTGAAGCCCTGAACCCTAAACTCTTTTCGCTGAGACCCAAACCCCATAGTAGAGTTGTACTTTGGGACTACTACAACGGCTGCCACGACGACGACGACTACTACTACTACTACTGCTCCTGCTGCTGCTGCTACTACTACTACTGCTGCTGTTACTACCACTACTACTACTGCTACTACGATCCCTATGTGAGCCAAGGCTCTTGTCGCGCTGAAAGCTTTTTTGCCCGGCGGCGGAGGCTCGCACTGCACGCGAAGAAGACACCTGGGCTTATTTTGGGATGAGGTTTTGCGGTTCGGGGTTTGCGGTTTAGGGCGTCGGGTTGGGGGTTTGGGGTGTATGAGAAACCCTTTCGCACTCCGGATAACACTCTTACAAGCCCTACGAATTTGGAACCTTAAAGACAAAAACCCTATACCGTGCAGGTCCTGACAACCAGCATCCCTCCTTTTTGGGACCTCTAAAACCTTGAGGGACCATGGGATGTCTAACCAAGTCCTATGATCGTTGCAGAGCTCAGTTCAGGAAAGGATCCCCACGTCTGCGGATGAAGGCCGATATCTAGGGCCTGTGGCGACATCGCACCATTGCCTGGGAAATCTAGGGTAAATCCCAGAAAGTTGGAACAAGGATACAGGATGGTTAGTGCATGAAGATCTTAATGCTCCAACTTTCTGGTTTATACTTCAACGCTTTATTTAGGGTTTGGAAGCTCATCGGCTTTGGGCCTCACGGCTTTCGGGCGGGTTTTTAGGGTTTTCGGTTTCAAAGTAAGTGTTTGGTTTTTTTTTTCGGGCGGGGGGCGGCCGGTTCTGAAGGCTTGATGGATCTGAGGTTTCGGCCTTTGGGGTTCGAGGGTTGATGAGATTTGGGCTCCTGTGGTTTTTGGGTTTACCAATTGAGTATTTGGTGGTTTAGAGTTTGCAGGGTTTATGATTTAGGGTTTAGGGTGGACTTCAGGGTTTCAAGGATTTAGGGCTTTGGGTCTTACGGTTTCGGGGTTCAAGATTTAGGATGTAAAGCCGGGATTGGCGCAAAACATGCATTTCAGAGCCGACATCAATGTGGTTTTACTTGATATCTGAGATTGAGCTTACTACTACAAGTACTAGTACTGGTCCAGTACTAGTACAAGTACTAGTACTAGTACGAATACGAAGTACTACTCCCCAAACTGTGTGTGGGGCCACTCATGTGGCAGGCGTCGGGGTGCCGGCCGCGTGTGATTCCTGGCGCGACAGAGGCAGACCAACCCACACGGGGCCTGCGAGGTCTCACGCTCCCTTTGCCGATGCTGCTGCTGCTGCTGCTCGCTGCTGCTTGCGGCTGCTGCTGACGAGCTTCCTGAATGCCCTGTGCTTCCTTATGCGGCTTCTGGGTTGCGAAAGCGGTTTTTGTGAAACAGCTTGTTTTCTTTTTTCTCGTTTCCTTAATGTCTGCTCCTGGACCTGAGGAGGTAGGACGCTCCTGGGTCGTGGACGACAGCTGGAGGGCGCTAGATGCTGTCATTCTCCTGTCCGGAGGTCTTGCTCTCCTGTTGCTCTTGGGCCCCCGCTCTTGTGTTTTGTTTGGTTTTTGAGTGCTTGGGTCTCGACATGTTGGCGTAGGACTGTGCTTGCCATCTTGCGGGAGCTGACTGCTTCAAGGTGCACTGGCTGCCATTCTTCGTGCATTGCGCTTCCTTCCTCTGGCACTTCCTGGCCACTCAATCGACTGTTCGATCGTCTCCTTTCTTTTTGTTTTTCTCTTTGGTTGAGCGAAGTGATTTTCTGCCTCTACGTTTTGGCTAACAGGGCACACAGCGCTCAGTTTTTGTCTGCGCCATGGTGCGCAAGTGCTCCAGGAGTGGGTGCAAGAAGTACCTCAGTCAGGCCCGCCGTAGGCGTGGCTTACACACGTGTGCCACTCATGGGCTGCGGCTGGAGCTCGGTAACCCCACCTTGAATCGGCCTGAGCGCCGACTCTGCGGCCACCCGGGCTGCTTTAGACGACTCAGCACTGATCGCCTCCAGCTAGATATTGATACCTGCGTGCTGCACGGCGGCCCAGTCCCTGGAAGGCAGTCCGCCCCACTATCCCGGCGAGCCTTAGCATTCTCCCGGTTTGTGCTACAGTCTTGGCACCTTGCGGCGCCTAACTTGCAGGTTGAGTTCAGGGTTCGAAGACCACCAGGTCCAAAGCCGCAGCAAACATGACGGTCTTGCGGATACGGCGTAGCTAATCGCTGCATGCGCAAGTCAAATGCGACGATATTTGCCCAAAATGGGCCGTGTCCGTGGATGTGTGTAATCCAGGCCAGCAAGAGGAACCATGTGGGTCCCTTGGCTAACTGCAGCAGAAGGAGCCGTCGCTGTCATACTGCACAGGCTGATATGAATGCATTCCGCGTGGCACCACAATACTGAGTAGGTAGTACCAGTTGTCCTTTGAGAGCATAATCACACAGCAGATTAAGCAGTTCTGCAGGCCTCCGAGCCTCAAACCATCCAAGATCCTGGGGCTGCAGGCCGTGCGCCGAAGGATCTTACTGTTTCGGTGAGAAATCTGTGAGAAAACCGTAAGCGTTGCCCAGGGTCTTCGAGAAAAGCTGTGAGAAGTCCTTGAAAAAGCTGTGAGAAAGCCGTGAGAGACCTGTGAGACAGTGTGAGAAATATGTGAGAGAATGAATACCGGTTGCCCAGTGTCTGCGAAAACTCTTTGAAACGTTTGTGAGAAAAATGTGAGGAACCTGTGAGAAAGCTGTGACAAACCTGCGAGAAAGAAGAAGCGGGGCACAGACAGGAGAAACTTCCAAGGCAGAAGTATCTCGGCGACGTCTGGGCGGCGTGCGAGAACGCGCCAGGCGAGGAGCACCAGGCGAGTGCCGCTGCGGCGGCGTCATGGGAACTGCGTTCGTCGTGCTTCCGGAACCCAATCTCCAAAACATGATGGCATGCTCCACAAGCTGGCATCACAGAAACGTCGAGATATCCATAGCGCATGCTTCCGCGCCTGCACGGCTGCTGGCGCGGCCGCACACATACCAAGCTGGACATTGCAAGCCACTTGCCCAAGTTGCAGAGCCACCATTATCGGCGCATGCCAGGGCAACCCCCCTGCCACAAATCTGGGCCCCCAACACGAATGAACTGCAACGGAAAGACGCATAACTGACCGGAAATCCGATGCCCTGAACCTTGGGGACGAAGCACAGACCGCCCAAAAGTCTTTCGAACTAAAGTCCTCCACGAGAGCAAACTGTCTCCAGCGTCAACCTCCCTGCTTGGCCCAAAGGCAAGCACATAACCTCGGAAATGACTGGCTGCGAGTGCGAGAAAGTAGAAGAGGCAAAAATCAGCCGCAAGATGCTGGCAAGCAACAAAGAAATGACCTTGAAAATCTTCATCGGGAAAAGCGCAGAACCCAGTGCCATGCAAAGGTTTTGAAGCGGCACGCGGCATTTCCGCAGAAACAACACTGCCGACAGGGCCACAGCATGGAAAGAACTCATGAAGTGCTTCGGCCTGGCTCCGGACGGCAAATGCTGCATAGAAAGCATGCAGAGAGAAAGGTTTAGGCTTTAGGACTTATGCCGAACAGGACGGCATTAGCCCCGCGATGCCCCCTAACCCGATCCGAAATGTGTCTGAGGGCATCCATCATCGTCATCGTCAGCATCCTCATCATGACCATCTTCCTCAAACATGCTAAGAAGGTGGGTCAAGCAAGGGGCACTGGCCTCCTGCTACTACCACTACTGCTACTACGACTAGTACTACTGCTACTACTTCTACTACTGCCACTGCTACTACTACTTCTTCTTCTTCCGGACGTCGCAAGGAACGGTCTCACTTAGCGTTCATGGAATTAGGACAGCCAAGGGCCCGGCGCATTGCGCACCCATCCTTCTGATGAGTCCAGCTCTCATTCAAAAAGCAGCAGCAACTACTACTACTACTACTACTACTACTACTACTACTACTACTACTACTACTACTACTACTACTAATTACTACTACTACTACTACTACTACTACTACTACTACTACTACTACTACTACTACTACTACTGCTACTGCTACTGCTACCGCTACTGCTACTGCACTGTTACTGTTACTGTTACTACTACTACTACTACTACTACTACTACTACTACAACCACTATCACAAGCATTGGTGCTTGGGCGTTTCGGCCGGGTGGCTCCTGCTTTGGCGCCTCCGCCGCCCGGCGCTGCCATGTCCAGGAGCCTCAGAAACCACGGCTGAGGGATTCGATTCCTTTCAAGGGATCTATAAGGATATTTATAAAGGGGTCTGTAAGGGATTCAGGTTTCCGGAGTGTAAAGCTTAAGGCTGTTAAGGCTTAGGGTTGAGGGTCTAGAGAGCTGAAGGGCACGGGCTTAAAGTTTCGGGTCTAGTGTTCTTTCAGGCTTTAAGGCTTATATAAGGATTGTAAAACCTCAGGGCCCATGCAATGGTAACATCTCTGGACCTCTTTGGGTTTCCTTTTGAGGCTTCCTTTTAGAGGGATCCATAGGGGTTCCTGTAAGGGATCCTTTAAGCGATCCACAGGGCTTCCCTTAAGGGTTCTTTTTAGCTGGATCTTTCTATAAACAAGGGCAGCTGTAATGTTTCGCATTGATTTCTGGAGGGCCCTGAAACACGAGCTTTAGGTTCCCTGAAGGGTTCTGCAAGTCTGCTGCGAGGGGGTTGATAGCATCACTGATGACGAAGAGGTCCATGCCCCTATATATAAACAGTTTATGCTTAAGCCTTAAAGGGTTCCTGTTCCTATATAGGTAGTTTAAAGCCAAAGTATATACTTACCGAAGCCCTTACCCCAAACCCCAAGACCCTAGAGTCCCGAACCCCGAATCCGCACCCTGGAACCGAGAGCCCGGAATCCACAGTGGAACCGTCAAACCCCCTTTTGGGAGTTTCCGAAAACAGGGGACCCAAATATAGCACCCTAAATAGTAGGATCCTTGTGATAAGGACCATTTTCGGAAAGTCCCATCTCCTAGAACCTGAACTCCAAACCCCAAACCCCTCCCCAAAACCCTAAACTGACATCCAAGAACCCTGAACACCAAACCCTTCCACAAAACCCTAAACCCCAAAGCCTAAACCTTCCCCAAATGCCCCACTACCGCGAACCCTGAACCTTTCCGCAAAACCCAACACCCCCAAACCCTACTGCCCAGAACCCCAAACCTTTCCCCAACTCCCGAAACCCCAAACCCTCCCACCCAGAACCCCAAAGAGAACCCCAGACTCCCGGGAGGATTTAGAAAGCAGATCCCCTAATATGGAACCCTATACTACTAAGGGTACTTTATAGGAACCGTTATTAAGGGATCTACTTTTTCGATTCTCCCCTAAGCCCTAGACCCTAAACCCTAAAACCCTATAGATCCCTTGAAGGGACCTTTCAAGGAACCCTTAAAGGAACCCCCATTAAGGGATCTGCTTTTTGCATCCTCCGAAAATTCGGAGAACCCCAGAAGCCCAGGCGCAGCTCGAGGCATCGCAGCCCGTTTGTTCGGCCTGAGGAGCAACAGGTCTTTTTGCTTGAAGGACTCATCGGATCTGGAGGAATTCCGCTTTTGTTAAAAAAAATAGTTTTCAATTCAATAGTTTTCAGGCCTCTTTAAAAGGATTCATAGGATTTTTACAGGAATCCGCTTGTTGTTTGAAACTAGTTCTGAGCCCTTTTAAAGGGCTTATGGGATGAATAGAACTCTTGCCGAACTTACGCTTTGAAGTTTTTTGAGGGGCTTATAGGATTTGTAGAAAAAACTTACTTGATACTAGATTTTTGACTCGTTTTCACGGGACTTGCAGGATTCATGGGGTTCCGTCTTTTTTAAGACTTCAGGCTTGGAGGGCCTTCGCAGGGCGATCGGATTTAGCAGGCTCTGTTCTTGAGGTTACCTTAAACTACCAAACCCTGCTTTTTTGTAGGTTCTTATTATGAACCCTAATTTGGAGTTAATAGGTTAAGGTAGGGTTAGGGTTTAGGGTTCACACGGATTAGGGGTTTAGGGGCTGAGGGGGTTCATTCATCTTCGACGACGTTTAGTTGAAGGTTTCAGGTTTAGCACGCGGGGTTTTGGGCTTCTCGACAACGGGCTGGCGATCGCTGCAGGGATTGCATGGTTGTGGCAGCTTTGACATAATGTTCCTGGCATCCCGCATCCTTGAACCACCGTGTCGGTCGCAGGGTTATATAAGGGCCAAATGCCGATTTCTGGTGCATCACACCTAAGCGGGGTCTCAACGCAGAGGCCCTGCAAGAACGGGGGCGGACTGATCAGAGTCGACATTACACCGCATGGCACTCCGTAAAATCCCACAAACTACTGTGGCAAAGAACTGCATAATCACCGTGGTGTTGGCGGTGTTGGGCTACGGTCTCAATGTTGCTAAAGTTGCAGTCCTCATCGGGATTCGGGCCACGGGAAGGACTCTAGGATTATGGTGTCGGGGTTTCCGATGACGTAGAGGTCTCAAGTTAGAAGTTTATAGGGTCTCAAAAGAGACACATAAGCAAACATTAGGATAGGGATTTCCCATATACACCCCCTTATAATGGAGCCCAATAAGGTAGGGATATCTCTATAAAACGCTTATGCCCTTCTTGGGTCCCGAAGTTTAAGGATCCCGGACCTCCAAGTCCAAGTGCACCCCGCCCACCTCTGCGAGAAGCGGAACCCCTTCCAAAGGGCAGTCGCTGGTCATCCGGCACCTGTCCAGGGCGCAGTTGGCCTTATTTAGTTAGAATAGGGTTTTGGGGCCAATTATACCATAATTGTAAGAAGGAAGCCCCAAAAATGTATAGGCAACTATTAAGGCCCCTATATCATAGTACCCTTCTAGATCCCTTATGGTAACCCTTATACACCCCTTTTAACTTACAGGAACCTCCCAAAATAGTACAGGTAATTCTTAAGGCACCGCTATATTAGTTGGCCTCATGGCCTTACTCTTAGCATCCCCGAGGAGGATATGGGAGTTTCCGAAGAATGGGACAGTAAAAGGTGTCCTAGGTAGGATCCTTGCTATAAGGACCCCAAAGTAAGGTACCCCTAATATAGTACCCTGAAATAGTAGCTTCCTTATTTTCAGGAGCCCGAAAGAAGGTACCCCGGAATTTTCGGAAACCTTCCTTAGGAGTGAGGCCCATGAAGCTCCAAGTATCCGGGGTCAGGAGAAGTTGGAATCTCTTCGAACATGCCTGAAAGCAGCCTTGGCCTGTCTAGGGATGGGTTTTGCTATGCCACCGGCCTAGGAATACCTCCAGCACGAACCTGAAACATGGCATAATATGATGCCATGTAACCCCATCTACGTACGTCCGGTCCATGCCACGCAGCAGCTCCAGCAACGACACCAGCAAAAGCAGCCCGCTGCTTGCTGTCATTGACGGTGGGCTCAGTCTCTCATTTGCAGATACTCGACCTTCTCTGTGAAGGAAGCCGGGCAAGCAAGACCTGGTCAGACTCCAGAGCTGCAAGCTCGTGTGTACGTCTCGGTGAACTTGGGGATGCGGCCGGCCGTGTTCGTCCGTCCACCCCAGACAGCGCCGAACTCCACCAGCTCAGGGTAACATGCAGAAGCTGTTCGCAAAGCTTCCACTCACCCTTAGCCAATACTGCCTAAATCTATAAAACAGAGCAAGTCCGGCGAACCATTCCGGAATTCTGGTAGGAACACGTGCCTTCAACCCACATCCGTAGCTTCCCATCCTGCAAAAGTCTAGGATAGGACCTGGCCCCTTCCTATACGGTTTAAGTTAACTCTCAAAATAATCGGTAACCCCGGGGCCACAGGAAGCCTGTAGTAAACCCAAATGCATAAAACCCTAACGACCGACAGTCCCCAAACACCCCATCCACAGCAGACAAAGAACATGGGAGCCTTCTTAAGGTGCAATATACTATACCGGATCAGTATCTGTCATTCAGGCTTCTCTACCTCAACACTGCATCTGGGCACTTGCTCACCACCGGCGGGTCCCAGTAGACAGGCACCTCGGTCAAATTGATGGGCCATGCTAAATAGAAAAGGGTCTCAGCGATAAGATTGCAACACTACAGTGGTCAAGGGGTCTTGCTTTAAAGGAACCGTTAAAGACACCTCAACAAAAACCCTTAAAGACCCCTTTAAAGAACCATTTAAGACCCCTTTAAAGAACCATTTAAGACCCCTCAAAGGAACCTTAAAGACCCCTTTAAAGAACCCTTAAAGACCCCCTCAAAAGAACCCTTAAAGACCCCTCAAAAGAACCCTTAAAGACCCCTCAAAGGAACCCTTAAAGACCCCTCAAAAGAACCCTTAAAGACCCCCTCAAAGGAACCCTTAAAGACTCCCCATAAGAACCCTTAAAGACCCCTCAAAAGAACCCTTAAAGACCCCTCAAAAGAACACTGAAAGACCCCCTCAAAGGAACCCTTAAAGACTCCCCATAAGAACCCTTAAAGACCCCTCAAAAGAACCCTTAAAGACCCCTCAAAAGAACCCTGAAAGACCCCCTCAAAGGAACCCTTAAAGACTCCCCATAAGAACCCTTAAAGACCCTTCAAAAGAACCCTTAAAGACCCCTCAAAAGAACCCTGAAAGACCCCCTCAAAGGAACCCTTAAAGACTCCCCATAAGAACCCTTAAAGACCCCTCAAAAGAACCCTTAAAGACCCCTCAAAGGAACCCTGAAAGACCCCCTCAAAGGAACCCTTAAAGACTCCCCATAAGAACCCTTAAAGACCCCTCAAAAGAACCCTTAAAGACCCCTCAAAAGAACCCTGAAAGACCCCCTCAAAGGAACCCTTAAAGACTCCCCATAAGAACCCTCAAAGACCCCTCAAAAGAACCCTTAAAGACACCTCAAAAGAACCCTGAAAGACCCCCTCAAAGGAACCCTTAAAGACTCCCCATAAGAACCCTTAAAGACCCCTCAAAAGAACCCTTAAAGACTCCCCATAAGAACCCTTAAAGACCCCTCAAAAGAACCCTTAAAGACACCCCATAAGAACCCTTAAAGACTCCCCATAAGAACCCTTAAAGACACCCCATAAGAACCCTTAAAGACTCCCCATAAGAACCCTTAAAGACCCCTCAAAAGAACCCTTAAAGACAACCCTGAAAGACCCCCCAAAAGAACCCTTAAAGACACCGCATAAGAACCCTTAAAGACTCCCCATAAGAACCCTTAAAGACCCCTCAAAAGAACCCTTAAAGACACCCCATAAGAACCCTTAAAGACACCCCATAAGAACCCTTAAAGACTCACCATAAGAACCCTTAAAGACCCCTCAAAAGAACCCTTAAAGACACCCCATAAGAACCCTTAAAGACTCCCCATAAGAACCCTTAAAAACCCCTCAAAAGAACCCTTAAAGACCCCTTTAAAGGAACCCTGATAGACCCCTCAAAAGAACCCTTAAAGACACCCCATAAGAACCCTTAAAGACTCCCCATAAGAACCTTTAAAGACCCCTCAAAAGAAACCCTTAAAGACACCCCATAAGAACCCTTAAAGACTCCCCATAAGAACCCTTAAAGACCCCTCAAAAGAACCCTTAAAGACACCCCATAAGAACCCTTAAAGACTCCACTTTAAAGGAACCCTGAAAGACCCCTCAAAAGAACCCTTAAAGACTCCCCATAAGAACCCTTAAAGACCCCTCAAAAGAACCCTTAAAGACACCCCATAAGAACCCTTAAAGACTCCCCATAAGAACCCTTAAAGACCCCTCAAAAAAACCCTTAAAGACACCCCATAAGAACCCTTAAAGACTCCCCATAAGAACCCTTAAAGACCCCTCAAAAGAACCCTTAAAGACCCCTTTAAAGGAACCCTGAAAGACCCCTCAAAAGAACCCTTAAAGACACCCCATAAGAACCCTTAAAGACTCCCCATAAGAACCCTTAAAGACCCCTCAAAAGAACCCTTAAAGACACCCCATAAGAACCCTTAAAGAAGACCCCCATAAGAACCCCTTAAAGACCCCTCAAAAGAACCCTCAAAACCCTTAAAGACACCCCATAAGAACCCTTAAAGACTCCCCATAAGAACCCTTAAAGACCCCTCAAAAGAACCCTTAAAGACACCCCATAAGAACCCTTAAAGACTCCCCATAAGAACCCTTAAAGACCCCTCAAAAGAACCCTTAAAGACACCCCATAAGAACCCTTGAAGACTCCCCTTTAAAGGAACCCTGAAAGACCCCTCAAAAGAACCCTTAAAGACACCCCATAAGAACCCTTAAAGACTCCCCATAAGAACCCTTAAAGACCCCTCAAAAGAACCCTTAAAGACCCCTTTAAAGGAACCCTGAAAAACCCCTCAAAAGAACCCTTAAAGACACCCCATAAGAACCCTTGAAGACTCCCCTTTAAAGGAACCCTGAAAGACCCCTCAAAAGAACCCTTAAAGACACCCCATAAGAACCCTTAAAGACTCCCCATAAGAACCCTTAAAGACCCCTCAAAAGAACCCTTAAAGACGTTAAGGGGTTCTCGGAGCTCCGGAGGGACCTCCAACTTCTCCGCGGCCGCCTCCAGGTGCAGAGAGCGAGCTCGTGGCCAGGCAGACCAGGCCGGCAAGTCGCCTGCGGTGCTTTGCTTTTGGTGGCAGGGGGCTTGCAGTAGGGTTTTTAGGGTTTGGGGTTTGTGGATTTAGGGTTACGTCGCCTAGGCAGGGGGTCCCTTTTTTGAAGTTTAGGGCTTTAGGGTTTTGGTGGCCTTCTTGAGGTTTAGGGGCTTTAGGGCTTAAGGGTTCAGAGTTTCCGGGGCTTTTAGGGCCTGTGGCGCTTTTGTTTCTGGTTTGAAGGGGGCTTAGGGTTTTTAGGGTTTTGGGGTTTGTGGATTTAGGGTTTTGGTTCGGGTTTTGGGGTTTCAGATCGGGTGTTTAGGGTTTAAGGGTTTGGCCCGCGGTGCTCGTTCTTGTTGAAGGGCTTGGTGCTTTAGGGTTTCAGGGTTTGGGGCTTTACAGTTTTGGCTTCGGGGTCAAAGTTTAGGGAGGCAAGGCTGCAATTTTTGGGGCAGAAACGTGCTTTGGAGTTGCTTCTTTCTGCATTTGTTTCGATATGGGCGGGAATTTACGCTCTCTGGATGTTCTTTTGCAGAGTTGTGCTTGGGTGTTAGAGTGCTATTGAAGTCAATTTTTTGTTCTTCCGGTGTCAGGTGTAATCGGAGTTGGCGGGCCGTAAACGACAGAAGAAACCCTATAAAGCTATTACGAAGCCCGAGAACCACCTCCTAGAACCAACAATCTTAAGATGCCATAAACCCTGACTCCTAAACCGTAAACCCATATGGGGGTTTCCGAAAACAGGGGTACCTTCTTTTGGGGTCCTTATCATAAGGATCTTACAATTTAGGGTACTATATTAGGGTCCCCTATTTTCGGAAACCCCCATATTTAATTCCATCGGAACATAACGGACATCGAAGGTGGCGGCCTGGTAGTTGCTCGCCAGCATCGTCCACGAGCGCCCCTTTAGCCTGATTTTTCCAGGATTTGACAAGAGTTTCTTAAAGATAGGGATTTCGGTGATATAGGACAGTAGGTAATTTTGGGGTTTTGCGGAGTCTTCTGCATTTGGTGGGCTTTTGGTTCAGTGAACACACGATACCCTTATGAATTATATATCCACGTTCCGGGCTCCTGGGCGGCCGTACGCTTCCGTTTGAAAGGAGCTTCAACGCACATCACACGGAAGCAGGATGCCCTCAACTCTCATCCGTGGGCTCTGACTTTGGGTACTTGGGGTTTGAGGTTTATGCATGTCACTTAGGGTTTTGGGTTCAGGGTTTAGGGTCAGGGTCGGGTTTAGGGTTGAGGGTTTAACCCTTCTCCCTTAACAAGAGTTACTAGGTATTAATTCTCTTCTTGTAGCGGCACGCCTCCTTCTTCAGCTTTGGTCCAACCTGCAATGTCCCGGCGCTTCGTCTGGATTGTAGATTGTGGGTGGAGTTCTCGCATGAGCCGTTCAGGACACATCGTCACACGGATGGCATGTAGAGAGGTTGCACAGATTTAAAGACTCGCATGATGGTCGTCAAGATTGCCCCCTACGTGCGTGTGTGTGTGCGTGCGCGGTTGTTTTGAGGTATCGGTGTTAACAACTTGTTCCCCCAATCCATGGGCTCAAGAAGTTTAAGCTTCAAGTTTTACAGGGGGAAGTTTTTTTGGCTATCCGTACCTGATCGGCTACCAAGATTACCCAGCAATCAAGGTCCCACGTTCAGCCCTGAATTAACACTTCACGGCACCAGTCTTAAATGTTAACTCGCAAACCCGAGGCTTGGGACTTGAAACTCCGGAGCTTTCCGGGCTTAAAGCTTCTGGGTTCGTGCCTTCTGGAGCAGCTTTTCTAGCTGGAGACCAATCTTCTCATCGCGCTGCCGTAGCATCCTCGCAGCAGTGGTGGTGTAGCGTTTAAGGGTGAGTAGTACAGTCGCTGTCGTTGGAGTAGTACCAGCGGCAGTGTCAGCAGCAGTAGCAGCAGTAGCAGCAGGAGCCGGAGCAGCAGCAGCAGCAGCAGCAGGAGGAGCAGTAGCCGTAGCAGTAGCAGCAGCAGTAGCAGCATCAGGAGCAGTATCAGGAGCTGGTACAAGTAGTCGTCGTCGTAGCAGGAGCAGCAGCACCAACGGTAGCAGCAGCTCCGTCGTAGGTTACAGTTTTCGATTCTTCTCCGGGTTGAGGGGCTCTCCACCCTTCAAGGTTTCCGCAATTGGGTGGTTTTCAAAGTTATGGTCCCGTTTTGGGTCCCTAACATACTACGGCACCAAATATTTAGGGTACCCAAAAAGGGACCCCTATTCTGACAACCACCCAGATGAAGCTCCGCCCTCGTAACCCGACCAGACAGAATCTTCCCAGCCGACGGGATCCAGCCATGCCGATTTTTGTTTGAGCAGTTGTCAAAATTAGGGTCCCTTCTCCTGGGCACCCTAAATGTTAGGTGCCGTATTATAATAAGGACCCCAAAAGGGACCATAGTTTTGACAACCACCCATTTGAGGAGTATTGGGTTTAGTATGGCTTGGTTCTTAGCGTTGAAGATTTAGGGTTTACATCTGCGGTGTAGGCGAGGAGTATTCCTTCAACCAGAAGAGTACACCCTCTATACTTTAAGCTAACTTCCCTCATTGTTGGGTGTTGGGCTCCCTATGAAGCTTGCAGAATCAGGAATTACATGCTACGGGTTACATGGACTCTCTCGAGATGGATCTGGCCACATATTGTGTCCACGCCGGTAGACGTGCTCTGTTTTACCTTATGTAAAGATATCGAAGAGGACTCCAAGACCACCAGCCGGACCCCACATGATCGACCCCAAACCCAAAGCGAGCACCAAAAAACTAACAGTCTGCCAAGGCACTGAATCTCCGCTGCCCAAGGTGCTGGCAGCTGTAGCTGTATTTCTATCCTGGGAGGTCTTGGGGATGAGGGCTTTGGCTGCCAGCAGGGCAAACCAAACATACAATGCATCCTCGAAGTTGCTCGCGGGGACGCTAAGCCAGAAGAACGCTAGTTTGGACTCTAGTTTGAGTTCAGGGTCCAGGGTGTGGACATTGTCTACACAACCCTAAACCCCCTGGGCTTTAGGGTTAAAGGGTCTAAACCTTACATGACTTCGTAGCTGAGTAGGCAACCTTCAAGCTTTGAAGCTTTTGGGGTTTAGAGTTGATGGCTGCCGTCACTTACGGCTTCAGAGTCGAGAGGCTGCAGAGTCTTTAAAGCTGCTGAGCTTTCAGAGGCTTCTGTTTTGAAGGCTCTTTTCCTCCCTGTTGCAGAGGCTTCAGGATTTGGGTTCTCTTCTCCATGTGCGTTTATGGACATCCGTGGACGGTACATGGATGGAAAGGCCCAAGCAGGCTAGCTCAAATTCACAAGGTGCTGCCAGATAATTAATTACGGCCGCCCAGGAGACAACACATTGCCCGCGCAACCAAGAGGCCTACAAAACCGGCACAACGCGCAGAATTAAAGTTCGTCTTCCCTGACCACGGAACATCCAAAGAATCCGTGCTCGATGTTGGACTTGCCGAATATCCGCGCCAATGGACTCAAACAACTGGATGCCGCACTATTTTTGCCCGACCCATGCAAGCTATCAGTGACGATGTCACTCAGAGCTGAAGATGGGTGGGTCATGGGACTTCGTAAGTATATAAGGTCTAAGTACCTCAGTGGGGGTTTTAGTCCAGTTGCCTTATATTTGTGTGTAGAGGCGGTATGTAACAGCGTGTTTCGATGCACATGCTGCCGGCCTTCGACACCCATACTATACCCTAGACCTAAGAGTAACCTAGGAATAGAAAGGGTGCCCTTTTTGGTATAAAGGGGGTTATAAGGGAACCTGAACCCCAAAAAAGAATACGGGCCTGCTCTGGGTCCCTGGGTCCTAGTACCACATTGACGGGTGCCTTACGGTCACCGTCAGCCGGGCAGCTCCAGCGGTGCGATTTGAGCCCATGAAAACCACTGCAGCAAAGCAGTTAAGACAAAGGTCCGCTTGTCGTTCACGAAGCATGGGATGATCAAGAGCCGCACCCCGGCATCTCTGCAAAGCTCGACCTTCCTAGCGTCCCTTCTCTGCTGAGCGCGGAAGCTGGCAGTATCACCGAAATGGAAGTAGTTTTCGGAATCGTAGTGCTGCTCTCCCTGGTATTCGAAAGCCAAACACAAGTCAGGGCAGTATCCATCCAACTGCAAGCCTTTCAGGAAAGACGGGTAACAGGAGCCAAACCCAGCCGGATGGAAAATAGTCTCGAGGATGCTGCGGATCTCCGCTTCTGTCCGCCATATACCGCCAGCACACTCTGGGCACCACGTCTTGCCATGCATCACGCTGTGAGCAGAGGCTTCCCACCTGTGTCCCTCTTTGCATTCCCAGAGAAGCTTCTGGAAAGCATTTTTGTATGACTTGGACAAGCACCTTCCACCGAGCGCAGCAGCATGGGCTCGGAGGCGTGGCAGACCGATTCTGTTGCACTGGGGACACCAAGTGCCCGAATTCAGAACACTATTAGGTGTTGCTTGCCAGGAATGGCCGTGCTTACACTCCCAGGTTACCTTGGACATGCCGTTGACATATATCTTGGCCAAACACTTGCCACCCCGACGAGCTGCATGTGCTTGCAATAGCCCGACGTTCAGCGGTGCAATTCCTGCGCAGACTGGGCACCAGGTCTTCCTTTTGTTGAGGACGGTATCCGGGATTGCCCGCCAAGTGTGTCCTTTGTGGCACTGCCAAACCGCTGGTGCCATCACGCCCTCATAAGCAGTTGAGAGGCATCGGCCACCGAGGGAAGCAGCATGCTCTTGCAAGTCCTTCAAGCTGCGCTTCTTGCGAGTTCGCCCTTTGCGGGAGCATTTGGGGCACCAGCTTCCGTTGTGAAGCACACTGTGTACCGTGGCCCTCCAGTTGTGTCCCTGTTTGCACTGCCATGTGAGCTTGTCTTTGGACCTGTTGTACTCGCTCGTTGACAGACACTGGCCGCCTCGCGCTTTCGTATGATCTTGCAACCGCTGCAATGGGATCCGCCGCTTGTTTTTGGCACACTCGGGACACCAGGTCTTGCGAATCAACACGTTGCTTGGCACTGCATCCCAGGCGTGTCCATGTCGGCACTGCCACGGGACTTTCGTCTTGCTGTTTTTATACCCGATCGCCAAGCACTCGCCACCCAGGGCCGCAGCGTGATCGTTCAACCGATCGAGCATGCTCTGCTCTCTGGCACTCGCTTTGTCCAACGTTTTTGGATCCGTCGCGAATCTGCATACTAACAGTCTCCTGGTCTTTCTCAGCAGAAGCGCAGCTGCAAATGCTCCAGAAGCCGCGACTGCAGCAGGTCGTGACGGCACACGTTTGCGGCTCGGTTCGAAGGCATCCCCGCACAAGCGGGATGCGGGTGTTGCACGCACATGGGACGCAGTCGGATGCCAACAGCTGCCGAGCATGACTGCATGAACCCTACGGACCTCCTGCCTGCCGAAAGAGATAATGCAAAATCCTCAAGCCCTGCACCTCTACCACGAAACCGCAAACTTCAAACTCCAAGATTGACAGTTCTTTCTTGCAGGTACTTCTCCGGCGCTCCAGGCTCAGAACCTCATATACAGCGTTTTTGTCAGCTGTTTCCGTGAAGTGCATAGGAAAACTCAGATTCCCTTTCAAAGGATTCCTGGATCCCTCGTCTACAACCGTTGTCTCTTCTAGGAATCGCCTTGTTCAAGAGCCCAATTCAATGACAGCAAGCACGGCCAGAGACACCCGTGAATAAAGCCAGCTGAACAAACCACAATGACCCCGAAATGCATTTCAATTAACCCCCCAAATCCCTCAACCAAGAACCCCTAAATCCTAGTCCCCTGAACCTTTCTGAATCCACCAAGTCCTCACCCCTTCGCCCTGAACCCTGAGCACGACACCCCAAAACCCTAAACCGTATAATGTAGGAACCTGGTCGAGAAACCTTGGGTTTTTATTAGGGTTCCTCATGAATCCTGCTATTTTGGGGTTATAGGCCCAGGGTTCTTATTCAGGTTCCTACATTGAACCCCCCTCAACCCTAAACCTCAAACCCTAAACCTAAAAACATAAGAAGGAGGCAAGCCCAGTGCAAACCCCAAATCCAAAAGCCATTACCTCCAAATCTGCCACCCAGTCTCCCAGAGCCTGCTTGCTTCGGCGCTCGGGTCTCGAAGACCAGCAGAGCCATGGCGTTGGCTGCTTAAAGGCGATTAGAACTTCGGGTTTGGGCTTTAGGAATGAAGGTTTAGTGCAGTTTTGGGGTTTAATGGTGAAAGGCTTAGAGCTTCAGGCTTGGGGTTGAGGGTTTAAGGTTTAGGGTGCAGGGTTTAAGGTTTATAGGGTTTAGGGTTTAGGGCAGTGGGTTTAAGGTTTAGGGTTTAAGGGGGTCTGGGGTTTAGGGGTTAAGTGCTGCAGGCTTCGGGTTTCGGATGTCCGGCTTGGAGCTTTGACCGAGCTCGTCTGTAGGTTTAGGCTTGAGGTTTTGGGTCTGCTTGGTTTAGGGCATCGTACTTAGGTGCAGAGCCCTGCAAGATCCCCCCCCATGGAGCGTGTGAGACTGGGCGGCTCTTCAACTTGACCGGCTTTGATTCCGGTTTAGGCTCGTCTTGTTTAGGTGCATTAGTTTAGGCTTTATGGCGTATGTAATTGTTGAGGGGCAGCAGCCAATCTGTTTTGCTCTAATTATTACATCCGGCAAATGGTCAAGCTCTTTGGGCATGCCAGGGCAACTGAAAAGTTGCGCTCCTGCCAGACAGGAGCTGGGCTCAAGCTGAAACTGAACCAAGCACGGCCACGGATTTCAGTTCCAACATTTGGGGCTCCCAGACCTTCCAAAATCCCTACTTTTTTAAGGAATATACACTAAATCATATTAGGGATCCTAGTCGAATTTACAGTATATTCCTTAACGAAGGGATTCCTTGGAAGGTCTGAGCTTTTCACTTTCAGATTTTCGGCCTCTTGTGGTTGAAGACTCTTCGACTCGAGGATCTACAGTAAGCCCCATAAAGTTGGAAACCGGATTAAGGCCAAATGGTGCTGGGATTCCTTATACATTACTCTTGAGGATAGAGGCTATTGGGTTTCCAACTTTTGGGCTAAACGAGGGCATGGTGCCCGAGACCCTTAGACTCCCCCCCAAACCGTGGGATTTTAATAGGGTAAAAAATCCAACCAAAATAAATGTAGTGTAGCATGCGAAAATAATCTAATCAGTATAATGCAGTACAAAACAGTATAATGTAATATATTTTCATTCAGTTTACTAGAATATGTTCATTCCTAAATATGTGTATATATATATATACACGTATTATACATATATATATATATATATGTCTGTATACATATATATATATATATATAGACATATATCGACATACATATACACGCACAACGACAGACAAATATTGCTGAAGGTTACGCACGAAGACAACAGCATCCTCGATGGGCATGTCACGGAGGAAGATCTCCCGGCTTTCATTGGACTCGGCGGGAGCGCAATATCGGGGCCTTAATAACTGGGTTAGGGGTTCCTTTAAAGGGTTCTTTAAATGATCCTATAAAAAAAGGGGCCCTAATAATTAGAATAGGGTTGTGGGGCCCCTTCTTCCTATGATGTTGGCAATTATTTGGGCTTGTATAATTTTTAGGCTTGAGGATTCTTCTTCGGGTTCAGGGTTTAGGGTTCGGGGTGAATGTACATATATCATATATAGCCCCCCGGACTCCACACCCTGAAACCCCGTAACCCCGTACGACCTTGAAAACCCTTGTAGAACGCTTGTTCATGCCCGTCGAAACCCTCATTCATGCCTAACCCGGGATTGCGCGGATTGAAGTCGGAAAAATAATGTAGGTAGATCAGGGGGCTTAGTAAGTGCGGTTGGAAGTGCCGTATTCGCCCTGAACCCACTATCAATTATGGTCCGGTTACCATTACGATGTTATTGTTAGCATCATGGTTGTCATTGTAATGATTACTAACACGATTGATGTTTTAAGGTGAGTATATCAAGGGGACTTAGAATGTACGGCTGTAGGCACGATGACTGGGGTGATAACAACCTGCAAGAAGCTAGAACTATGCCTGCCTTAACTGAAATTATGGGTTTGCTAAGTCTCCCGATCCTCTCGGCATCAGCCCCTATAACTCCAGGCCATGCTGGTGAACCTCAGGAAAGCTGTCCAAACGCAGTCAGCCACAGCCTCGCAAGACATTGTCACCTGCGTTGCTCACGTGACCGGCCTCGACCGTGGCAGGCGACCAGCGGGAGAAGGTGAACATGTGCAACCGAAGTTTTTGGAGGTGTCCTCATCTCCAAGCTCTTTCAGCACTGCGACGAACAGCTGCTGCAGTCACTGCTGGACTTCTTTGCAGCTTCCCTGACGCGAGCTTCGAGCCAGCATCTCCTCAAGGCAAGCTGAAGCAAGTCATCCAAAGAATATAAAGTGGAAGCTTCCCTGCCGCAGCGTCAAGTGTCTGGATACCTGACCATGCAGCCTTGCCCTAGAATGACCAGTTCCAAACTGACGAAAAGGGAGAACTTAATATGGGGGCTACAATAATTAGAACAGGGTTTTGGGGCGCCCCTTATGCTATAAGTACAATAAGGAACCCTCAAAATAGTATAGGTACTAATTAAGGCCCTGATGTCATGCAGGTTTGGTCATCTTGGGCGTACTGTGCTCTGTTTCGAGCTCTAGGCTCCGGGGAACCCAGAGACTCCAACACGACTGAATGACGAACTATAGACTTTAAACCAGAGTAGGGATACTCCTGCAATGTAGGCTGCACTCGTCAAGGAATCTACCATCAATGATAATATGAATTCCCCCCTCCAAAAAATAAAATATATTTGCCTGCCTTAACGGATTTTGGAGTCTGTGGGAGGACTACTGGAGCAAAGCCCAGCACAATAGTTGGGGTGGTGGCTTCGGTGGTACTTTGGGGGTTGAACAACAATCCTCTGCAAAAAAGGCTACGGAGAGGCCCCTGTATGAAACTAAACACCAGACGCTGAGGATGTAGAGGGTAGTTGAAGGATTCGACTAAGGTTTGAGGTGTGGGCGTAGGCCCTTGCTCGAAACCCAAATGCCAAGGAGACTGCAGTTGCACCCACCTACCCCTCTCGCCCATGGTCCCCGACAGGTGGTTCGCTGAGAAGGCGTGCCTGTCAACGGCGCTTAATCCCAGATTTGAGCCTGAAACCTATGTGTTTTTGCCTGATGCTGAAACTTAAACAAGGCGACGTGGTCGCCACAGAGCTCGAGTGTCTTCAGGCCTTCCGAACTTGTTGACGACAACTTTGGCCCAGGTTCAGAGAAGACAGCAGGAGCACGATTCACAAGCATACCCGTGTTCATGCGCGAACCACGATTGTTAAGGGCCTACATGGCTGGTCTCTTTCCCGTCCGATAGCCTGAACACAAGGACTGGCTGACTGGCCCAATTGTCTGGAAGCGACATTCCTGGTCATAAAGCTAACTTTTCGCTGTGCCACTATCTCACAGCTGGGTCTGAGTAGTACTCATGCTTGCAAGGTGCTGTAAGTGTCATGGCCGTTCCTATGCTGCCTGCAGACGTCAAGTTCAGCTCGTACTCGGCTGAGACATCAAAACTAAGGTAGCTACAGTCATAAGACTCCTTTCCGGGTTGTGTCGCACGCGTGCCCTGATCCGCCAAGAAAGCCCTTCAACCTGGATCCTTTCTATTTCCGTGACATCGGCAGACTGAACATCATCAAAACCCGCACACCCTCAATGCTTAAATCCTCCCAAAACCCTAAATGCCTCAATCCCTAAACTCTTAGCCTTAGCACACAGGATGTTAACACGCTGGCGACAAGAACCCAACCACAGGTCAACACATAAATAGTCAATAAAACATATATATTATAAATATATACGTAGATAGATAGCTCTTCCACCCCGCATGAAGCTACTTTATCCTTACGTCCGCTGATTCTCCAAGCAATGTCTCTGTTTTCTCGACCCGAGGGAAGGCCTCGTCGATGCAAAGCAGCGTCAGCTCCTCGTCTGTCGCCGGCCCCGCCTGGCCAAAGCAAAATCTTCTGAGTGTTCTTGATTTCTGCCAGTGAAGGTTCCATGGGGTTTCATGGAGTTCTACTCGGTCTTCGTTAGGCTTTTGGGTGTAGTGCCTGGAGCTTTAATTCTTAGCTCTTGGTGAACATTGGGATACTACATGTTAAGCTCGTAACGCCCTGAACTCAAAATACGCCCAACTCTAACCTGGCAAAGCTAGAGCCCGACTCGCCAAGCCGGTCTCTGTAAGATCGTGAAACTTAGTGAAACCCTGAAACACTTTCTGACCTTACAATATTATAAATACACTTTTCGTGAGCCTCGGGGTCGTACTCCTCATCGGGCTGAAGAGGATTGCCCGCAGCACCTCCAGAGGTTTTGGGTCTGCGGTTTACGGCTCAGCTTTTGAGAGTTGGGGTGTCGGCTTTTCAGCTTTAACCCCGAACCTAAACCTTTTGGGCTAAGGGTTCAGGGCTTCTGGACATTTGAAACAATCCCCTACTTGTCCATAAGCTTTGGGAGTATATTGGAATTATAGTAAAGGTTCAAGGATACCTACTCTACTACTAGCATCCTGCGAGAACTTACAACAGCGCCCCAGAGGTAAGAGCATACCTGGCTAAAACCGGGGCCCAAATAACTAGAAACTCTCCCGCTATAATATATATATATGTATATATATATATATAATAATAAAAATAAAAAGGAAGGCCAAAAATAGTATTGGTAATTCTTCAGGCCCCAATATTACCCACCTACCTACCTAGCTACCTACCTACCTGTTTCTTTATGAGCTCGTCTCACTCTATGTGCATATCTTTGCATACATGTGCGTGCACATAACACCTATTCAATGCATGTATGCATGTACAGAATCCTAGTTGTACAGAACGTCATACCAAACTTGTTCATGTCATTCGCACTATCTGGTTCTTTTTAAGGTAGTGACCAGTGCACGGCACTGAAAGGAATGCAAACTACCATTTGGGGCACTGTGTCATACAGTGCAGACTACACGCTGCCTTGCCCAGGACTATGTTGCGCAACTTGGATGACCGGTGGCCGTATGTTGCCGTACCATACTTCTCATTGCGTTGTCCCACTCGTAGATGTAAGGGCTTTGCGCAGATCTCCTTACCTCAA